ACCTCTCATTTCCATTTGAGAAGCATAGAGGGTCTCATACTTCTGTACTAGCTGCTCTTTGAATCTTACTGGAAAAGGGATAGTGGGCTGATAGAGGGATAGTGGGCTGATAGAGGGATAGTGGACTGATAGATAGGGAGAACAGCGGCTTGATTTTTTTTCTTGACATCAGACACTTCAACAAAGTCTTCCCTTGTAGCATCAACAACTTCATGTGGCGCCCACCACTCTTCTTCTTCCAGAGATTCTTCTTGTGCAACTCCATAGTTAGCATCAACTTTCAAAAACTCTTCCCCCCCCCCCCCCCCCCCCCCCCCCCCCCCCCTGAAGTCTGAAGTTCAGTGTCCTCAGTGAACAGAGAGAGAAACTCTTCAATGATAGCTTCCTCTTCAGCTGAGAAGCTATCTTCTTCAGTAACCATGACACTACAGAACTCCTTTGGGTTAGCTTCTGGTTTTCCAGAAAAGTGTGGACCAGCTATGCCTTTGTTGTTCTCCAGTGTTTTGACTCTTGCAGCCAACCCTTCAAACTTGTTGGTTAGTTCAACATGTACTGAGTCTATTTTGTTATGAACCTCAGCAAACCTCTTGTTCAATTCCAAGTTGTTGGTAGTCTGATTCTGAATCAACTGCTGAACAATTGTCTTGAGCTCAGGATCTTGAGAGCTGGAAGAAGCTTGTGCTGGAGCTTGTGCACTGAATCCTGGAAGATGATAAGGCGCTCTTGGCTGGAAGTTGTTGTTTCTCTGCTGAAAACCTTGATTGTTGTATGGAACAAAAGGTCCTGGAGCAGCTTGCTGTTGTTGTTGTGGTGGGTACACTTGATCTTGTGGATTTGCAACATTGTTGCTTCTGTATGACAGGTTGGCGTTGGGTCTGTAGTTCCCATATCCATTGTATCCACTTTGATTGCCCAAGTAGTTCATCTCTTCCACTTGGCATGTCTCTTGATCATCAAGCTGAATCATGTCACCAACAAAGTGAAGTTCCTTCTTCTCTCTTAGCAGCATATCCAGCTTCTCATGTAAGGCCTTGATCTCTTTCCTGCTAGACTCCAGTTCATCTTTAGCACTTCTTGAAGCTCTGTCATATTCCTCATTGTAGTTTCCATTAGATTGAGCTAGATTCTCAACAAGCTCCAATCCTTCATCTACATCCTTTGACAAGAAGTTCCCATTTGATGCAGTGTCAAGAAGCATTCTTATCTTTGGCAAAGCTCCTATGTAGAGAGTAGAGAGTAGAGAAGCCTGTGAGAAGCCATGCTGAGGGCATTGCAGTGTGTAGCCCTTGAATCTTTCCCAAGATTCACCAAAGCTTTCATTGTTCCTCTGTGCAAACCCTGAAATCTCATTCCTGATTCTTGCAGTTCTTGAAGTTGAGAAGAACTTTGCTAAGAAGGCTCTCTTGCACTCATCCCAACTAGTGATGTTTCCTTAGGGCAAGTTCTTCTCCCACTGGTGTGCTTTTTCTCCAAGAAAAAAAGCAAACAACCTCAGCTTGAAGCCATCTTCACTCACTCCATTGATCTTTGTTAGTGAGCATAGTCTATCAAAATTATCCAAGTGTCTAGAGGGTCTTCAAGTGGCAAACCATGGAACTTACTGCCCTGAACCATTGAAATCAATCCAGACTTGATTTCATAGTTGTTGTTTTTGCACTGCTGGTGGAATGATGCCTGTTCTGTTATTGTATGCATTTGGTGCATCACCAGAGCCAATGGGTCTTGCTGCTCTTGGAGCTTCTGCAGCGCCTCTTTGTCCTTGCTCACCTTGTAAGCCCTGAACACCTTGCTGTCCTTGTATACCATGAGCGCCAGCAGCTCCTTGAGGACCCTGAAATCTGATATCATCCATAACAGGTTCCTGATTGTTCATCCCAAGTCTCTGCAAGTGTTGCTGCCTTTCTTGCTGTCTTCTTTCTCTCTGACCTCTGTCCAACTGATTGATGTTGTCTATAAAGTCTACAAGATTGCTTGAACCTCTGGATCTCAAGCTCATATACCTGAAAGACAGCAATGAGAGTCAAAGGAGATTAGTAACCAAAAACTAAAGAAATTTGATCTTAAAGATTCTACAAACTCTAAAGATTCAAACAGAAAACCTAATTGGCAATGCCCCTGTATATAAATCAGTTGTAGTATAGCATAGGGTTTTATGTCAATCCAAATGGGTTTTGTTGAAAGCAAAAGAGTTTTGAGCAGATATCCTTAAGTCAAGCAAGCAAAGAAGGTTTTTGTTGCCTAAGCAACTAAATTAGCAACCTAAAGTGATCAATCGCCAAAGAGAACTCAAAAGCGACAGTTCTGTAATGATCAAAGAAGTAAACAGAGCAAATAAACAGAGTACTAAAGCAAATTCGAAATTCAATAAAAGAGAAAGCAAGTTTCTAGATGTGGTTATTGACTTTGGGAAATTCAGAGACTAACTAAGGTTGTTTCAAATAGCATTGATCAAGCAAACAAGCTAGCAATGGTGGTTCCTAGACATAGAGTTCACAAACAAGCAAGCTAAGCCCAATCTCTAGTGAAATAGCCCTTTGCTAAACACCTTAACAAGAACTAACTCTCATTAGTGCTAAAACATTTAACAAGCAATAACAATCAACTATATTCATGTCAAAATGCTCCTCAAACAGTCAATCTCTTGAGCCAAGGCCAGCAAATCCTTTATCAAACAAGATCAGCATTTCATCAAACACTTGGTGGACATAAGAGAAAGCTCAAATCCTAGATAAGTGTGATCAAGACAAATCTAGGTTAAGAACAGATCAATAGAGAGGAACCCATGTAATTAAACACTAAATAAACCTTAATCAATCCCTAAATCCCTTTAATCTACCATATCTAAGAACCTTAAGCAAACTACTCACTAATATTCATGTTTAACACCAAATCACAAGAGGAAAAGATGTTAAACATGATTAAAAGAGAGATTAGAGAAAGATTAATGGCAAATACAAACTTATATTAAATAAAGCAAGAAATTTGTCTTACAAACTCAGAAAAATAGCTCAAGAACAGTGTTATGGCATGACTTGTCGAAAATCTCAGAAAAATAGGTATTTATACATAAAAAAAGGAAGCTTTAAAGTAATGGCAAAAGTATAATAAAAGACAGGTTCGGGCTAGGTTCCTATCGGTCAGTTGTGATTGATAGGGTGATTGATAGGGATCCTATCTTTCTAGAAGATGACTGATAGGGTGACCGAAATATATACGGTGAACTTCTATCGGTCACTTCTCTGACCGATAGGTCTGGTCGATAGTCCTTCTATCGATCACTCCTTGACCGATAGGCCTTGTGTCTTGATCGATAGGCTCTGCAAAGATCGTCTGTCTTGGTCCTTTTTGCTCTTCTTGGCTCAGCTAGCTTCCTCGATCATCTCCAAAGCTCTTTCAATGCTCTTCTTAGCTCCATAAGTACCTAAAAACATTCATAATGCATAGAAAATACAAACTATGTCATAAATGCAACCTAAGTCTAAAAGAAGAAGAAAATGAGACAAAAAAAATAAAAAAAATATGCAAAAGAAAACCAAAACATACAATAAATACAAGCCTAAATGGTGTAAATATAAGAGATATCACATCTCTCGAGAATAAACATCTAACGAGCGAAATGGTAAAGTCTACCCTCCAGTACTATCTGATTAACTTCTTCTTCGAAAGCAAAATTGAATAATCCTTGACCAAACACATTTTTCAGATAATTTTTATCTACTTCGTTTCTATTTTGATATTATAATAATAGATTTTTTAGAAAAGTTATTATAATATTATTTTTTTTTGAAATTTTTTTTGATTCATTCAAAAAATATAAATAGTATAATAAAATAAAATAGAATAAAATTTTTTGTAAAAGTATAATTATGATCAAATATCCTAAAATTGAACAATTAGCGAAAAAAATGTTATAGTGAAAGATCAAAGAATGTAATAAAACATATATTTTATTATTTTAAAGGTATATTTAATTTTACATTATTTTAATTTAGAAATTCTGAATTTAGTTTAGTTTGTTTTATATATATATATATATATATATGTGATATTTATCAAATCTGTAAAAATATTTATTGCAAACTATATATGTTTTTCACAATTGTTGGAACTGCAATTTTTTAGTATTTAAAAAAAACATTTAGTCGATACTTCTTCAAATTATACAAAGATTATTATGTTTTACGTAATATATAGAAAAATTGTATGGTTATGAAACATCACATACACATACAAGGAGTCAATGAAAGTATTCCAAAATAATATTGCACGTGTCCCATTCAAAAACGGTGTATATGATCAAAGTGCATATTATTAGAGAAAAAACTATGATGATAATAAACGTGGTTGTAAGCTTTTTTTGTTATGATTTTTGTTTTATTGTATTTTCTCTAATTCAAAGTTTTTAGCGAGACAACAAAAAACATGCTAAACGTTCAGAAGATTGAAAGAATATTTAATTATAATAGTAAAGAAGTTAATATTAATCAATTCCAATGAGAGGTTACATCATTTTAGAAATCAATCGATGAAAACAAAATTATACCCATCTAAGCAAATAATTATATTATTGTACTATTTTTTGTTTGTCATGATTTTTTTTATATTAGGTTTCTGTATGATAAAGTTTTTAACAAATTAATATATAAATGATGAATAATTAATTAATAGAAAGTGTTAAATAATGGATTTGCCCCAAAAAAAAAGTGTTAAATAATAGATCATCATTCATCATATTCTATTATTTATTTGAATATAAAGTTTAGCCACCTTCTTTACGTTTGCCGACTTCATTATTTTATTTGTTTTTCCCCTCTATATAGTTGTGTTTCACTCTTTTTTCACTGATGTGAATAAGTGAGAGATGATATTTATACGAGACGCCATTCACGTGAAATCATAATTTTACATCCTCCATGTTCTCAGTCTCGTCTCTTTGTCTCTCCATCCATCATCAATACTTTATTACTATTATATATACATACAGTATGTACACATACATAAATCTTACCAATATTTTATTTTATTTTATAACAGAAACCCAACATTCATACATTAATGAAACTGGATTTATTCGAAACCCAACCTTGATATAATAATTAAAATAAAAAAAAAGCACAGCTACACACAATGTAATACAGTGTCATAAATTGATATTACGGAGAATTGGGTGGGAACATAAATCTTATTTTACTATATTTAATTATATCTTTGATTATTCGCCACCGAAATCACCTCTCCAAATGCTAGATCTGCATTTTGGGATATAAGGCAGGAGCCAACCTAGGTTTCGCATATGCGAGTAGAGGCTTGGCCATGAACAAGTTGCTATCAGCCGCGATGAGCTCGACTTGACTTTCTTTTTTCCATTCGAACCCTTGGAGAAGCCTGGCTAATAACATGAAGGTCATAGATGACCCAATCTTAATTCCTGGACAGGCACGCCGACCCGTGCTAAATATCACAAGCCGCATGTCTGGTTCCATCAGAGTCACACCCGTTGAGTCTCTAGCACAGATATCATCAAGGTGTCGCTCGGGCTTATACGCGTCAGGTTCGTCCCATATCTTAGGGTTCCGACCAAGCCCTATACGGCTCACAAGAACATGACTACCTAACATATCAAAAACAAAATACCACATGTTACATATTAAAGTTAATGTGTTGTGTTGTTACTTAATATAGTAATATATACATATATATATAGGTATAAGCCTATTGTTTTCTCTAATAATAAAATATATGCAACCTTAGTACTCTGTGAATTATATTTAGTTTTTATATTTTATAATAGTTTGTATCCTTTATAGATACAAATTATATCTTAAGAAAGACGGTGCTTTCTTATGTTTTATTGCTACCATTTTGTTCAACATCTCTATGCTAGTTGATATTTGTTTTTGTAATGGACTAAAACCGCTTGTGAACTCTTCAAGGTAGGCAAGAGACAAATACGGAATATATAAATTTAAGAATGACTTTTACCTTTAGGGACGAAATAACCAGCGAGAGTAATATCTTGTCGGGCTACATGAGGAGGCATTAACGCATTAGCTGGGTGAAGTCGGAAAGATTCTCGGCTACAAGCTTTGATGTAATTGAGTTGTGGTATGTCTGATTCTTGAACAAGTCTGTCTTTACCAACTACCATGTCCAGTTCATTTGTGGCTTTCTCAAGAATCTCAGGGTGATTCAACATCTCCGCTAACGTCCACTCCACGTTATTCATCGTATTGTCGATTGACGCAACATTCATATCCTACATATCATAATATATGCATAAGAGATTAATTAAACCCTTATTTTATTTGTAACAACTCGATGTGTGAACATCACTAACCTTGCATTGAGCTCTAATCTCATCAAGTGTGAATACAGGCATCCCTTGGTCATCTTTTAGCGTGATAAGAGTATCGAGCCAATCCTCTTCCGTCTCCTTTCCACCTTCATTCCTCCACAACTGCATCCTCTTGTGGATGATCGGGTCATTGCACTTGTTGAGAATATCAACCGTTTCTCTTATCTCTGCCTCCTCTACATCGAGGTTCCATCCTCTAAGAAAAGGGACATAATTGGTTACCTTAAAGCTGAAAAAGCAATCTAGAGATCGGTATATTGCGTCCAAATGCTTTTTCTCTTTCGGCCCTAGACCACCGTCCTTTGCCGGTTTATCAAAATGCCTCTGGCCAAACATCATCCTCATCATCACGGCGTGGCAATAAGTTAAGGCGACATCCCTCACGTTAACGGGCTTCGTCGTTGACCCTAATCGGCATTGATTGAAGACATATGTGACGATATTATCTGCTTCTGAAGTTCTATCATGAAGAGTCTTGTTCAATGTTGTCGGAGACATTAGTTTGGTGGTCATCACTTTCTTCATCAGCTTTAATTTCTCTCCGTAGGGAGAGAAGTTAATGTCCTTGTAGGCATCGCTGATTAGATTGCTCGAGTACGACTCTGATCTGTCCGCGAGAGCCTCGTCTTTGTCCCTCAGCACTTCTCGTGCGATCTCGCTTGAGGTTATGGTAATGACGTGGACGCCAAAAAAGCGAAAGCAAGCTATCTCGGTGTGCATATCTTCCATGAAGCGGTGGACCCACAGGTGAGCCGGCTGGTTCATGACCATTTGGAACAAGTTCCCAAGAATTGGCCATCCCCATGGACCCGGAGGAAGCTGGCCTTTTGGTTTCTTGAATCTCAAAGAACGTATGGCAAAAGCCAAGACCAGCGTAATGGAAAATAGAACAACTGTGAAACAAGATGGATTCGTAACTCTGGTGTTCATGGCCAAAAAGTTAATTTGATGTGTATGATTATTTTGTTGGGAAGCCATAAGAGTTTTTGCTTTTGATCTCTTACTACAAAATGACTAATAAGAACGTTTCCCTCACCATCTATTTATGCATTTGAAGTTTCATAATAAACTGAATAAGAAAAAAAAAATTCATAATAACCGCGTATAAAAATATAATTGGTATCCGAAAAAGCTATTATTCATCAACCTACCTAGTTTTTTTAGCAAAAAAAAAAAAAAAAAAAAAAACGATTGACCTAGTGGCAGCCACCTGAATAATAGTGTTATTATATATTGTCATTTTGTAAGATGATATGATGATATGTTTTTTTCTACACACGCATTAATGAAGTCGGATATTCTCGACGGATTTTGAAAAAAAATGGAATTGCAAAATACCAGATTAAAAAAATATAACGAAACATTATGATCCAGTTACAATAAAAAATAAAAATTAGAAAGATATAAGTTTTCTTGTGCTCTATTTATTGGCATATAATTTTTTTTTTGAACCCGTTTTTGAAGTACAGTGGTTAGAACATCTTTATTTATGGTACTTCAACAGGATTTTAAAAACAAGAATATAATAAAAATAAAAAATATAGATATAATAATAGATATGTTTCTCAAAACTTGAAATATTAATACAAAAGTATCTTATTTGACAACCTCCGTAAATATTTCAAGTTTTAAAATATCTATCTATTATTATATTGATATTTTTATTATGATATTATTTAGAACCCTATTGGAATAGGGATGCTATTATTTAGTTTTTTTTATTTACAGACTTACGTACAATTTAGTTTTTTTATAACACCAAAATTTAGTTTACTAAGTTATTATTATTGCTAAAAAAATTATTACTTCTTTCTGTATAACTTTTTACTTTAATTTTATGGTTTCGCTAATAGTGTTTTTTTAGCATTTATTGATTTATATTCTTGATAAAATTATGTGACTAAATACTGAATTGAAAGATGTTATAAAACATAATCCTTGAAAGGCGATATTTTAATTTGACGGAGAAATCCGTGGGAAAACCGTGGGAAATCGATATGTTTTCTTACAATTCCTCCTGATCACTCAATATCTAAGTTTACTCGCATCCAACAATGTGGCTATACTGCGAGATGTTACGAGCCTAGAGTCAGCTGACCTCTCTGCCGAATCTATTTTATTTATAGGATCCAAAATCTGGTGATATTTTTGGGTTTCTTGGGTCGTAGGCCGAAGGCTCAGTTTTGATTCCGCAAAATATACTAGAAAAAAAAACAAGGATTACACATGGTAACACCTACTTCGTTTACGCGTGGAAAGGGTGTTAATAAACAATTTACTCACATTGCACGGATCCATTAGAAGTGGAAGACACCCTTGTCGGGACAAATATTTACCCTCCAAAAATTAGGTCTTGCTGTCACGATTTTTTTTTTTTCATTTTTGTTGCGAAAGGGTTCACGATCCGTATTATCTCATGACCGACCAGCATAAATGATGATGATAACACACTTGAATTCGGAAAAAAAAAGATTGTCTTCTTGCAGATCATAATATAATATATATATAATAGGTTATATAATATGTTACATATAAAGCACGCGACTCAAACACACATAACACGTTTCTTCCCATCTTTTTCAGTCCAATCATACAAAAGATTTAAAAGAGATAAATAATATTGGTCGGACTTATTAGTTGATATGATTTTGCCAATAATATATAGACTACTAATAACGAGGCTGGTTTACAAAATAAAGACCGTTTATATAGCAGAGAGGGTAACAACAAACAAACCCACTACCTACTAAAACCTAAAAATAAAATAGGGATAATTTTTAGAATGACCAGTTGACAATTTTATTACAAAACATGATTCTTTATAAAATTATTGATAAAAAAATTTACTAATGTGTTTTTAGTCAATTATTAGTCTGTCGGTAATTTATATTTAGTCTACCATTAGTTTATCAATAGTCAACATTCAATTGTAAGATCAATTAGTCTGTCAAAAATCTGCATTCAGTCTCCCATTAAATTAGAAGTAAAATAGTTAGAAAGATAGCACTTATATTTTAAAAAACAATAAAATATGAGTTATTTTCACAATTTTCCTTTAATAGAGTACATGTTTTACATTATTTTCTCATTTTGTGTTATTTTAGAGCACTTTCCCAATAAAATAAAAAGGTTCTGTTTACTAAAATAGATTAATTTTTTTATTACTCAAATTGATTTGATGTTATTTAATTAATATAATAGATTTATATAGTTTTTATTTACTATTATTTATTTGTTGATAAAAATGTAATTATGAAACTGTCTGTATTATTATATGCCATGTAGGCAAAAAATGTTTATCAAATTTTGAAAGTCTACCGGACTAATTACGGCAAACTTAAGAATATTTCAAGTACATTTTTCTTAGGGGAAATTGCTGAATATGACTCAAAACTTGAGTTGAAATGCAAAACTAGATCTCCTATTGCATGTTTGACAAAAATAACTCACAGGAGTAGTGAAATTACAACCTTAACCCTTATGACCAAACAAAAAAACGCCAACCTCAATTACTGTTTTATCCTAGAGAAGTCTACTCAAAAAGTTAAGTAGACTTCTCGAGTAGACTTCTCTAAGAAGTCTACTCTCTAATAATATTTTTACAATTAATTTTAAAAATCATAAAAAATAATTTGATAAAAAGTTAGATACATAACACAAACATATACTTTTTACACCTATTAAAAATAAAATTTGACACAGATATATTAAAAATCAATTTAAATCATCATAGATAAACTAAGATAAAAATCAATACTAAGAAAATTTTCGGTTTCTCGAGTAGACTTCTAGAAGAAGTCCACTCTCTAATAATTTCTTTACCATTAACTAAAAAATCATGAAAAATAATTTGGTAAAACAATTATATACATAAAAAAACGTATATTTTTTACACCTATTAAAAATAAAATTTTTATAAAAAATAATCAATTTAAATCATCATAGATAAATTAGGTTAGAAATCAATACTAAGTAGACTTCTCGAGTAGACTTCTTGGAGAAGTCTACTTAAACAAATTATTTTCTACATATATAAGAAGAGTTTAACCTAATTGTATTAACAATAAAGTCTCTCTCTATCTAAAAAACGCCTATCTCTCTCCTCCCTTCTCTCTCGCCATGAATTTCTTCTCCTTCCTCTCTTGCTATCAATATTCTCTCCATCCTCTCTATCTTGCATTCAACCTCCTCTCACTTGCATGTTATGGTAGTGGTAAGCATATCTGAGCTTTTGTGTTCCTTTTTGTTTGCTTTGTATTCATAATGCAAATCTGAGTTTTTTATTATAGATTTGAGCTTATTGTTGTAGATCTAAATTTATTTTTGTAGATCTGAGTTTATTGTTGTATAACTTTTGTAGATTTTGTTGTAGATCTGAATTTTGTTGTAGATCTAAATTTTTTGTTATTGCTGCAGAGCTGAATTTTGTTGATTTTTTTTGTAGATCTGAATGTTATAAATATAGTAGATTATGTTGCAAATCTAAATTTTAACATTTTTCTTTTCTTATTGTTGCAGATCTGACTTTATTTATATTTATGGTTTTGTTCTACAGATCTCAACAAAGCTCTTGCTTGTCTCTGCTGGATTTAAGTGATTTGAAGGTTCAAAACATTTAGAATTCTTGAGAAGACTTCTCGAGTAGAAATCTCGAGCAGACTTCTTGAGCAGACTTCTCGAGCAGGCTTCTTGAGTAGACTTCTCGAGCAGACTTCTCAAGCAGACTTCAGTTGCATACATATTTTTCAGAGATTTTAGTTTAGTAGTGATTTCTTATGCCAATTTTAAGATTTCTAATCAGTGATCCTTAAATGTTTGTTTGTTTAGAGGGTTATTTTCTATGTAATGTTGAATTGCATTGAATGTTTTGTATCATATTCCCAAATTATGTGTGTTTATGTATTCAACAAAATAGACTTCTCCTGTCTCGAGTAGACTTCTTAAAGACATTACTTTTACATAACTTAAACGTGATTTAGAGGGACATTTCTCCCATTTATATCACATAACTTGTCAACCGAGTAGACTTCTCTTGTCCCGAGTAGACTTCTGAAGTAGACATCTTCTATCTCGAGTAGACTTCTTAAAGACATTAATTTTACATAACTTAAGGGTGACAACATTCACCCTCCTTTGCTATTCGCCCTCATTTGCCAACATTCACCAAGAAGCTCACCATGTGTGCAACCATCTCTTAAGAACAACATTCGCCTTCCTTTGCTATTATCCACCTCGAACTGCCACACTGATTCACTCCTCACCCATTCTCCATAAACAGCAGGTATATGAACCATTCTATGTAAAAAATAAAAACAAAATCCAAACCACATTAGAAATCAAAATGAATAAGTAGACTTCTCTGAAAGTCGGATGAAGTCTACTTAGTAGACTTCTCGAGTAGACTTTGCGAGTACACTTCTTAGAGAAGTCTACTCTATAAGCTAAGTATCATATAAAACATAAAACTGATTCGACTATACCTATAAAATATAAACATGTAAAACTTATGCATAAGCAAGAACACTTACTAAAAGAAGCTTAGGATCACAAAAATCTTAAAAATTCGTTATATATTGTATAAAAATAAAATAAAAATTTTTAAAAAAAAGAAAAGTAGAGTTCTCGGAGAAAAGTAGACTTCTCGCAGGTTAGTTTTACAATTGCCAAAAGATTAGTAGATTTCTTCAAGAAAACTAGACTTCTCCGAAAGTAGACTTCTCGCAAGTCATTTTTGCAATTGACCAAAAAGTCAAATATTTTTCAATTGCAACCTGCAAGAAGTCTACTTCCGAAAGTAGACTTCTCAGAGAAGTCTACTTTTCATGGAGAAGTCTACTCTACAAAGTCAAAGGTTGGTCAATTGCAAAATGACCTGCTTCTAAAGAAGTCTACTCGAGAAGTCTACTCCATTTTTTTGTTATCAAAGGAAATGGAGTAGACTTCATTCAGACCAAAAAAAGTCTTTTTTTCATGCGGTCAATTGCAGAACTAACCTGGGCGTTGACTAGTAGACTTCATTCGGACCAAGAGAA